ATGTTAAAAGTATACTGAAATAACAGTGAATAGTATATTACACAAGTAGAAATTACATAGGTATGCTATAGATGGCGCCACGTCTTTATCCATATGAGCTGTACTATAATCGACTCTTATTAGATTTATGCTGCCAGTGTTTTGAGACCGATTTTTTACCTAATGATACATTAAAGTTTCATTTTCCTAATCAAATAACACTCCTTTTATTTAATTCAAATAGTTTGAATGTCTCTTTCAAGATAGCCGTAGTCTCCATAAAATGGTCCTTTTATATCCTTGAAAAATAATTAAGCTGTGAATATTCGTTTGATTATTGATGCTCGGTGTAACATTTTATGGAACTCCAAGTGCTCCAGCACCTCAATATCTCTTCCTGTAGGTTCTGTGGCTGAGGGATAAGATTGAGGGCTTATAATGCTAAAAATCTGGATTCGCTATCCGCGGTGGGCACATTGCAGATAACCTTTGTGTTATTTTATTTGATAATGCATAGTGTACTTTGAGTATGCGATAAATCTGAAATGTGTTTCTCTACAACTAATTATTTTTCACGCATTTTATTATCTTGCATTTTAATACCTTTTACCATTTCTATATTTTATGAAATAATTTCATGTAGAGTTAGTTGGAAAGATCTTGCTTTAATTTTGGGTAATTATTACAGATCTTGTTTGGCCACTAATTATTATGAATACTATTTAGTTAATATTGAAAATTTAATTGTACTTTATTTACTACTTCAAAATTAGTTTAGGAAATCTATGAGTCGATTATTCTGCATTTAAATTTTCAGTTCTGATCAGGATTGGTTGCCTTTCACCTTTTCAAATTGTTACAATATTTAAAGATAAGAGTTGAACAAGCGAGTTCTCCATTTATAACAAATTACAATAATAAAAAAAGCCGCTGCATGTGATATACTGGAAAAGATAGAGAAGTTAGATTATGTGTGTTATTCAGGTAGACTGGTGTTCAGCAGGTAAGTTTGAAAATATCCTGAAACGTACTGCAGAGAGTAAATAAATCTATCCGGAACAACAAAGCAAGAAACATACACAAGTGAACAAATAAAACAAAACATATATAAATTGTGTAAGTCCTTACGCTTACTAGCTACTGGCGCTGAAGATGGAGCCTTTCTTTAAAACGCACACACGTATCAAAAACAAAAAGGATTCTAATTTAACACTAAAATTCAGAACAAACGCGAAAAATGTGGCGTACCATTATCCAACGTTACATAAGTCACCGACTATTCCAAGTAATATTTGTTTGTTTGTTTTACATTTCGCGCAAAGCTACACGAGGGCTATCTGCGCTAGCCGTCCCTAATTTAACAGTGTAAGACTAGAGTGAAGGCAACTAGTCATCACTACCCACCGCCAACTCTTGGACTACTCTTTTACCAACGAATAGTGGGATTGTCCGTCACATTATAACGCCCCCACGGCTGAAAGGGCGAGTATGTTTGGTGGTACGGGGATTCGAACCCTCGACCCTCAGATTGCGAGTCAAGCGCCCTAACCACCTGGCCATGAAGTAATATTTATAGAGAAGTTTCTGAAGCACTCCTTGAGATGGGCTCGTCCCTCCCCAGACGGTTCAGACAATGGGCGAAAGTGATATACATTTCTGGAATATATAACTTTGCCTGAATAAAAGGATCAATAAATATTTATGAACTTTTGATAGTGATATACAACTATTTGCAAAAAACAAACAAAAAAAAAACGGACATAATATCTGACTAAAGATATAATCTAAACTTGTGATGGAAGACTTAAATGTATGACTATTTCAATCACCACAATCTTACTTTTTCTTATTTCAGGGGTATTCAGCCTCGAACAGTAGATTTTAACATTACAGGCTGAATTGGTTTGTTTGTAGTTAAGCACAAAGCTACACAAAGAGCTATGTGTGCTCTGCCCACCAGGGGTATCGAAACCTGGTTTCTAGCGTTGTATATCCGCAGACTGGGGTACGGCTGAACTGGAGAATTAAATGCAAGTCCCAAAATGCTAAAATTGTTGACCTCAGGTAAACACAAGACACTTACAGGAAAACGGCAAAGGTTGACCAAATATAAACTCTAGCAACAAACTAGAAAAACAACGTACAAAATTAATATACAAATTCAAAATAAAGCTAAAATAGAATAAAGTCAAAAATAATTATCAATATAAGAACATAGAACGAGTTCGTAATGAAGTAAACAAAACACAGTGATACTTGTAAATTATAAATAATAATTATAAAATCAACAACATTCAGTATGAATACACATTAAAAATTGAAAAGAGTATCAGCCAGTCACAAACAAATAAAGGTAAATGAAATTAAATAGAAAATTGAAACATGCTACAAACTGGCGAAAAAATAAAGAAATAAAAACAAAATTTATACACTACAAATGGAAAATATAAAGTCAAATAACCCCTCGACGTGGATTCCTGTACATGGTGAGGGGACCTCTCAGGGAAGATTCTGTATTTTCAGTTATCTCCTCTGGGATATAAACATCCACCCACGTGTTTGCCGTGCGTGGCGACCCTTGAAGGGGAGGAGAGGATCCTGGTGGTTGAGTGGTGTCTGTGGCACTGCAACACACCACCTTGGCCTTGAATTCCTGTAGATGGGTGGCCTTGGGGTGCCCCCAGGGTCAATCGGCTGGTCCACTCGGGCTAGGGTCAACTGAGTACCAGTGTTGGGCGTTCTCAATGGATGTTGGGGACATCGTGTCTGATGCTAGTGTTTGGGTATAGTGCTCATGAAACCCTGGTGTTGCTGCAGTGTCCTTGTTTGACATTGTAGTGCATCCCCTCGTAGGACTCCATGGCTTGTGGGGTTAGTGGGCACTGAATTTTTTCTTTTATTATGGATCCCCCAATCCCAATAAAAAAAAGAGTTTAAAACTCTGCTAATTGGTAAACGACCACGCATAGGAGACTCTGAACAGCAGTCTCCACCACAATGTAGACCTGTACCCCGCTTTCTGATCTTACATTCACTATCCAATAAATCTTTAGGGCAAATATCTCCCTTTTTTATTCAGAAGAGTTTAAAGGGGCTTGCTGGCTCTCCAAAGTCAGGTAAGAAGCTTCGTTCTGGAGTTGGCCCGTCATGGCCAGATGGTTATGGCGTTCGACTCGCAACTTGCGGGTCACGGGTTCGAATCCCCGTCACACCAAACATGCTCGCCCTTTCAGCCTTTGGGGGCGTTATAATGTGACGGTCAATCCCACTAGTCGTTGGTAAAAGAGTAGTCCAAGAGTTGGCGGTGGGTAGTGATGACTAGCTGCTTTCCCTCTAGTCTTACGCTGCTAAATTAGGGACGGCTAGCGCAGATAGCCCTCGTGTAGCTTTGCGCGAAATTCAAAACAAACAAACAAACCGTTCTGGAGACATCTTGGTTGAAACATCCACAGCAAAGTACAGTGAACTCCTCTTGAATTCAAAGGCCAATGGGGATATACCCAATGAGGTTACTCCCCATGCTTCTTTGAATTCCTCATGGAGAGTTATTGTCGAGAGGGACTTAAAGTCTATCCCCGAGTCAGAGATCCTTGCTGGATTCTCCAGCCAAGGAGTTTCAGCAGTTTGAAGGGTCTCCAGTCGTCAAGATGGTATTATGGTGCCGACCTCAGTTCTGATTTTGACGTTTTCATCACCACGTTCACCTGCCACTCTTAAGGAGAGTTATTTGAACTGTAAGGTACAGCCCTATATTCCCAACCCTCTCTGATGTTTTCAGTGCCAGCGGTTCGGTCATTCAAAGACATCTTGTCGTGGTTCCATGACGTGTGCTTGTTGTGGTGGCAAGGACCATGACGCCTACGAATGCAAACTGGACCCTCACTGTGTTAATTGTAGTGGTTCCCACCCCTCTTACTTAGGTCTAACCCTAAGTGGATAGAGGGGGAAGAAGTACAGCATTTGAAGACTGTTCACAACACTTCTTATCCAGAGGCTCGGAAGCTATTGTTCCCTACTCCATCTCGGACATATGCCACTGCACTACTCTCCACTGCTACAATGGAGGTGCAGATGGACCTTTCCGTGCTTCCATCTGAGTCTTTTTCACGCCATGTGAGGGGTCTTCTGCCCTCCATGGATAATAGAGTTGACCGGTCTATGTCTACTCCAATATCTGTCTCTACTATTCAGTCCAGTGACTGCCTGGGTCAACCTCAGTCATTGGATTCTCACTCTGATGACAGAGATCTGCCCAATTGATCAAGGGCAGGATCCTTGGAGGTCGATCAACCTCCATCTGGTAAAGAAAAACGGCGTGGTCTTAAACCGGAGGGTTTTCCACCCAGTTCTCCTTCACCTACATAAAAATGGCCACTTTGATACAATGGAACTGTCGAGGTTTTCGTTATAATCTCGATGACATTAAGGCATTAGTTCAGTCCTATCATCCCGCGTGTCTCTCCTTACAATAAAACTTTTCTGAAACCTGCTGATACAGTCACCTTTCGGCAGTTTTCTTTGTACCGGAATGACAGGCTGTGTGATGGACAGGTTCACGGAGGGGTGGAACTGCTGAGACAGTGGTAAGTTTACGGACTTACAACGTTAAACTTACTCGTGGTTGATGTTGGTGGAGATATATATTCAGTTCTTTAGTAGCATCGCTATGTTTAAGCTTAGAAATTCATAGAGGTTTCATTTTGCACAATCAACGATGTGGATAACACCCGCTTTTCAAGAGGGATGATATTGTAGTTTGTGTGTATCATCTCATATTCTTTCAGTCTAAACATAATTATCTCAGAGAATTCCTACAAAATTTCTGTAGAAAAGCGCCATTCAACGTTTAATGTACGTGTCCGGTTTTTACTTGTTGTTATTGCTGCAAATAAATGTTGATTTTATTGTGTTTAGTCTCTTTTCTGCAACTCATTCCACAAAAGTTTAAATCTTTTCTTGCACAAATCTGTAGCTGCTAGAGGGACTACTCTTACCGCTTCATATGCGGGAAGTCGAGGATTCGATCCAGTTTATATCCATTTTATTTACTTATTATGTCAAACTATGTTTCAGTAGTTAAATAATTTTATACCCTAGTTATGGAATATTAAAATAGTGTAATGTTTATACATTTTCCACTGTTACGTTATCTGGTGGAAATTGGGTTTTGTAAAATAGCGACACCTTGCATAAAGGAGAAACTAGTCAAATAATCTCGTATCAACAACATTCTTTAGTGGCGCGATGTAAGACATTAAGATTGTTAGACTAAAGAAAATATTGCAACAAATTCAAAGATACTTTATGATATTATCGTATGTGACAGTTGAGTGTTTTATTTTTATTTTGCTTATTCTTTGAGTGTAAAATACAGGCAGTGGCAAGTCTATCCAACGATAGTCGTTAAATTAAAATGGGACCAGCAGTGGATGCAGTGCTACCTGTAAGTGTAAATAACATTTTGAGATTTCTTAATTAATTTAGTAGCTGTTTTTAAGGATTATATTAAAAACAAATATTTGTCATTGACACTACATGTTATTCCTGCTTACTTTTACTATTTTTAACACTGAACTGTGTAAAACAATGTTAAGGTCGTTTCACATCAGTTAGCATCTGAATCTTACATTACACAATTTGCTTTTGTTTTGTCTTAGGACTTTACTTTAGCCTGAAGTTTAAGGTTAGGATATATAACGATATTTATTTTAATATTGAAACTGGCAGCGTGCACTTTTAATTTTATGATTTATTAACTAAGAGCTTAAGAAGACATAGAAAGAAACGAAATAGTAATAATGAAATAGTAAGTTAAATAATTCCACTAAATCAACATGTACTGCAGTCTAACAAGTTTTTGAAATTTATATTTTGGCTATATTTTTACCTCAATATGTGAATAACTACTGTATATAACTTTTTAAAGTTTTATGAATGTTTTGCTTACCTACCCAGAACTTGATGTCTTCAAATTAATTCCATGATATGATAAGTAATGCTATTTTGCATTTTAAAATCTATTAGGCACTTAAAAGTGAATTTCAATATTGCTCTCAGTTATATATAGTAATTAAGCCCAACTTATTTATTTCTATTCTGAAAAATATTGGGGACTTGACACTGTTTGAATAAAAAATAACATTTGTAATTTAAAGTTATTAATAATATTAATACAGTAGTATACAAATAACTTACAAGAACAATGGAAAGACATTCCTTACATATTCATACAAAGTCAATGAAATATTTTGAAATTAAATTACTTGTGTTTTATTAGACTCAGTGTATGTATACCATAGTTTAGTTATTAGATTAAAGAATAGAAATTAATTTAATAAAATTGTTTAGCTTTTAAAAAAATGGCCAGTATTACTAGTGGAGTGCCTAAGAGGTGAATGCCTGGTCTTTTGTATTTTCTTATTTAAAAAAGGATATTGACACTTTGGAAAGGGTACAGAGGCAGGCTACTAAGATTATTATTGGGATGGAAGTATTATCTTGCAGGACTAGGTTAAGATGTTTTAACTTATTTTTTCTTGAGAAAAAGGATTAGATATGTTATTGAAGTTTACAAGATTATCCAAGGGATTGATAGGACAAAGACCTCTGATATTTTTGTGCTATATTTTGAAGATTGTAAGACAAAACACAGGTTTAAGATATAGAAAATACATCTAGGCTCAGACAGTTTCATTTTCATAACAGGGTAATTGACTTTTAGAATTAGTTGCCATTAACAGTAGTGCATGCTAGCAATTTAAATTATAGGATTAGAAGAGGTGGATTGACGGTTTCATGATAAATGAAGGTCACATTTAAATTTTTGCTTTTCTCAAGGGTGTATGTACAAGAACAGATCTTCTCTTGTAAAAACAGAAAAGGAAAATTATTTAGAAGGTTAGCCATCTTATAAACTAATGAAACCTTCCATCAGTTTTCTTTTATAGGTCAGGATTCCCATTTTAATCTTCTTGTTTAATGAGATCTGACTTATTAGTAATTAGGATACTAATAGAGTAATCATAGAGGTATTAATATTAAACATATAAGGTAGTTTAGTTGGTAATGGCCCCATGTTATTTCTAAAAATGAAAGCTTAGCAATTCTCAAAATGTGTGATACTAATTATGGAATAAAATTAACATTGAGGTGCCAAATCATTCATGATAGAAATTATGATAACATGGGTGTTGCACAGAATTCCTATTTTTAAAACAAATTAAAGAGGCTTAGTTTCAGCCAAGATGTTAACAAAATTAATTATTATTCTTCAAAGTTTGACACCAGTTTAACTGTCAGTGATTTCAGAAGAAAAGTTAAGTGACTAAGGAGCATCTCAAACATTCCTCATGTTGATTTAAAAATTAATGTATGAATATTCATATCTCTGTGCCTTAAACTTAGTAACAGAGTAATATTTTACATTTTGATTTTATAGGTTTCTGCCAATCGTGAAAAAAGCAACACAATTATTTTTAATGCATCCAAAAACGAGCTGTTTAAACTAAATGATGGACTGAAAACTATGCAAAGAAGATTGAAGAATAACTGGAAGGTTATAAGGTAAATGGAACAACCCTTCCATGTACATAAATGTTAAGATTTAGTCATACTAAATGCATCTAAATTGTGTAAAGGTCTAGTTGAATTGCAAATTATATATAATAAATATTGGTGAATCTGTTTTATACTATGTGCTGTTCTAGAAATACCAAAGTAAGAATTTTAAAACTACAAACAACATCAAGAACATTTAATTATTAACAAGAATCTATTGAAACTTGTTTTTAGTACTGCAGAGTCTACACTCTTGTCTTCTGAATAAATTACCCAGTAACTATTCCACTAACTTACGTAAAGGCAGACATGGACATCAAAATGTCATTAGGTTAATTCTATTGAAATGGATCATGTGTCATTGTAGACTGTCAATTTCTGAATTATTTATGGGACTTTTATTTTTATCAAGTGGATAAAACCTTTAAAATCCTAACTGGAGACACAAGCAACAAAAAAGGGGTAATTAATGAACTTGGTACTAACTGATAGAAATTTCAAACTTTTACACTAACTTAACATGTACTAACTTTTAATTTACAAAAGGGAGTTATGGTCAAGCTGCAATAATAGCAAGAGAGAATTGAAAAATGAATTTATCCTTATAAATGTAAATTTATCCAGAGAATTTAATTACAAAATGTAGGCACTTTGATGAAGTTTGAACTAAGTCAAGCAGAACAGTTTTATACAATTTCTAAAGCTAACTTTAACCTAACAAATCTATTCTTAACTAAGAAATGACTGTTTGTCATCTCTTGTATAAATAATACAAAGTCTCAGTAGAAATTATAATATATGCTGTCTGTATGATTTGGCAAAGCTAGATCAGTGTGTTATCATCCAATTACACAGTGAAGTAGGACTAAGTGTATCTCATTGGCTAGCTTGCCAGACTGCGGAGCTGGGGTTCCATGGTTTGCATTGTGTTATATCTCCCCCCCTCTTAAAATAAATTCATGCTTTTCATTTTGGGGTCATGGATTTATTATAACATGATGGTCAGATCCCACCTATTGAATGTGAAAAGAGTAGGCCATGAGTTGATAGTGGATGGTGTTACTTATCTGTCTTCCCTCTAGCCTAATACTCTGAAATTAGGAATGGCTTTTGCAGATAACCCTCTTGTACCTTTGAGCAGAGAACAACATGCTGGTTATGTCTTGAATTCATTATATACATAATTGGACTTTATTCAGTCATATATCTTTGTCTTAACAAATTTTTCTTCTTACCATCAATTGTACTTCTATATAAAATTATGTATAGCTGTATTCAGTAACAATGAATGATGCTAGTATGTGTCTATAAATAATCTGGTCAGTGCATTAAGAAGGTTTCTTTTAATTGTATTACTTCAAGAGAATTAATGTCTTTAATACTTGGTTATTTCACACAAACAGTATGTGAAATCTGTTGTTCAAGTTTCTTTTTGTATTTCAGATTAAAGCATGAAATAATCACTACCTATCATCAGATTACTTTACCTTAATTAGTATCAGAATTTTGTATAATTAGAATAATAATTATATCAAGCACCTTATAGGCCACTGTTCTGTTTTGGCCCTACATTTTCACATGACTTAGTGGCTACAGTTTTATATTAACTTTGTCTTTTCACACATCTCACTTTTAAGCAGGTAGAATCGAATTATTAAACGTTATAAAATCATTAAAGCCCAACATGGTAATAAAACAGAATACTTTAATAGTTGGTAGACTTCACCACCTAATCAATAGTTACAGCCTTTTACTTATGTTAGAAACAAAACACACTCAATCTTGAAAACTGGGTGCAAAAGAGTGAAGTAAAAGATAACCAAACTCTGATCAAGCTGAGTGTTGTTAGGAGTACACAATTGTTTCACCCTTAAAAGTGTAAAAGATACCAGTTCTGTAACCCCAGCTCTTGCTGTTAGTATTTGGAAAATTTGTTACATAATTATAAAATATCTCAGAGTTAAACTACCCAAAAGTTAGTCTAAAGATAAATTGTTTAGAATGAACTTTTAGCTACTTTTAGTTATACTTGCTGATTTTATTTAGGAAAGCTTGTTACATGCAGTATGCAAATGAAATATAACACTAGAAACTAGAACACTGAGAAAATTCACTAGCCAAAAAATTTTTTTTTATTAAGGTTTTAATCAACTACTTTGTGTTTATTTTGTGTTCAGCAACAAAGAAGATATTTCACAGGATTCTCTTTCTCAAGCAACAGTTTTTGTTCTCCCAGGACCAAGAGAAAAGTTTACAGAATCGGAGGTTAGCTATTGTTATTTATATTTAGACTGTCTGAAATAATGAACAAGTTTAGACTGTTATCAGCTGGTGTCGTATACCTTTTTGGTTTGGTAGATGATTGTTAAATGTAGCCATGCAACCACTGAGTCCAAGCTTAATATAATTTTGTGGCCTTTATACACATTGTACGATAATGCTATGCTCAAAAATGTTTTAAATAATTAACTCATTAAATCTGTGTTTAGGATCAGTTTTAATTTACTTCTCTGTTGGTCTTGTTTGATGCATAGTTGAAAGTTATTTATATAGGCAACCTATATACTGAAGTGTTGATCAGACAATATTTTGTTTGATGTATTCCTATACATCTTCACATTCTTTTAATAAACTGTCCTCACACTTACCTGCTATTAAGTATCAGATTTCAGTTTATCATAATTCAGCAGAAATTTGAGCATGAGCAAAAGTCGTTTATTTCTCAATTTTACCTCCTCCAGATGGGTACATCTTGTTTGAAGGGAAAAATTGTACCGCTGAATAAACAAAGTTATAGAAAATGAACGTACTGTAAATCTTTAACACATTAAAATAGTTTTATTTATTTGATTTTATACATTAAATTAAACAAAATTGCAAATTTTTATTTTGAGTTGAGCTCAGTATGCTCTAAACAAAAACATCAGTGATTGCAAATTTGCTTAATTTGGCCATGTAACTTGAATTCTATTGTAGTTTTATATCTTTAACCAGTCACTGTTTCTCAAACTTGGTTGTCATTGTATGATATAATTACTTGTATCTCAGCTTGAGAAGTCATGGGGTAGTGTTCCTTTCAACTATATAAGTCATTATGGCTTTCACTTGAATGGAAATTTTTGTAAAGATTTTCTTAGAAGAAAAGATGTTTGTGAACAACTGCAAGAATTAGAGTTCTACTTTTTTGTTTATTTTATCATTTTGTACTTCATTTGAATTATGATGTTCGAGTATGAGAGTAAAAGAAATGTTTTTCATGGAACAAGAAGAGATAGGCTTAGCTAAATCATTTTGCACTCCATCATTTGAGGTTTCCATTTGCTGTCAAGTTGGCTGTGGTAGGCTTTGTGCACATTAGGCCTTAATGGCCTAAGTAAGTGATTGAATAACAAAAGAAATCTAAAAAGAACACATATATATGTGTATGTGCAGGCCAGAACTTGTTTTATTTTTCATTGTGTAATTTATTACAAGGTCCAGGTCTTGGACATTGAGGTATCAACTACAACACTGATATATATATATATACATACACACAGGCCCGTGCAAAGCTGGTAATTAAGCCCAGGCCAAATGGGAAATGTAGGCCCGATTTCAAACTGCTCATTAAGTATTTTTGTAATCAGTGCTAAATACATATGATTTATATATGGGTATATACATGTAGTTTACATGATGTACTTACAAGTAACAGAAATGAATAAAAGAACTAGAAATGTATATAAGACAATAAAGTACAGTACAGTAATAAGAAGCAGTAAATACAATAGTACATTCATGTTTATTCTGGCCCCTCCTCTGAATAAAAATCACATGCATCAAACAAACTTTAGTAACATCTTGACCAAAAATGTTTTGTGTGTTAACCCCATGATCTTTGTTTAACATCTCCTCCTACGGAAAAACAAAAAAAATTATAGTATAAAAACAAAAATAATGAATGAATAAAAAATTGATAAAGGTTAGCAAATAAAACTAAAACCAGTATTGATGATCTTTAAAGTCAAACATGATAACAGCAAATCTAGTAGACATGTTGAATATCAGGGATAATCGCTATTGTTTGATGTAAATACATGCACCAAATGAAGTTCATACAAACTTATGTTATGTCTACATATAATGAAATGTATAGTAACAGTTAGTTTTGAATAGCACAGGTTATAACTGCAGACTAGTGTATAGGCAATATGTCAGCAGGTGATGTAAACAAAAATAAGGGAGATGCTATTAACATCATTGCAAAAGTGTTGAACCATACTTCTGGGACATGCTATATTGTATATTAGGTGAAACCTTCTGATGAATGGTTAAACAGTCAGCTTGTTTATAATGCTGGTATATTAAAGATTTTTCTGTATACCAGTGATTGTAAAAACTGTGAAACTGTGTATTATATTTTTTAAACTAAAAAGATACGAATTTTGTCAATCACAGCCAGGTGGATAGGGTACTTAAATCGTGAGGGTCCCAGGTTTGAATCCCCATCCTACCAAACGTGCTCACCCTTTCAGCCATGGGGACATTATAATGTGATGGTCATTCCAACTATTTGTTGGTAAATGTGTTGCCGTCGGATGGTGATGATTATGTGCCTTCCGTCTAGTCTTTCACTGCTAAATTAGGGACGGCAAATGCAGGTAGCCCTCATGAAGCTTTGTGTGAAATTCAAAAAACTAACTAAGATACAATTTTCTGTTTTATTAGATATAAATGTTATGGAAAAGTGTAAAAGGAATTAGGAAGAAATAAAAATTAGTAATTAAAATGTCCAACAAAGGGAAGCCTTTTTTATAACCGTACTTTCAAAAAACATGTCACTGTGAAATATTTTCAAAATTCTCAGAGCTGTGAATTCATACAAATATCACATATAAAATGATATTTTATTTGCACAAACTGTATAATATCAAGAATATCCTTCTGATCCAGTAATTTGTTTTTCACATTGCAATAGAACAAACCATACAATAGATGTTTTGAATCAAGACACGCAGGCCCAATAGAATTAATGATATATGTTGTCTTTATAAAATCTAGGTATAGTATTTGCATTTTTTCTTTCTTATGTTATTAAAATGTTTAATATTTAATTTTTTCAATACTTATTTGCACAGGTTACTTAAAAGTAAAATGTCAGTTGAAGTATTAAACGTTCTTTTTAAAACTGATCACATGTAAGAAAGGTATTTTATAAAATCATTTTCTAACTTAATATGTCTTGGCACCAATTTATGCACATATTACATGGGCTATTATTTTCTTTTTATATTATTTACACTGATAAAATAATCTTATATGGAGTTATTTGTTTGTAATTTTTTCATGTTTCATATATAATCCACTTTTTACCATATTTGCCTGAATATAATGTACACTTTTTTTCCCTCTAAACACCTCCCAAAAAATTGACTGTGCATTATATCTGATGATAGTGACAATTCTAGTGATGACAAAGATTTGTGTGAAGATGATTGATTAGTTCAGTGTATTACCACATATAAACTTTTCAATAAACTTGACACTTAAAAAAAATTCAATGAAAGGTTTCCAAAAATGTTTAATTCATCAATAGTTGTGTACTGTATTTAGAAACTATTCAATACATTTTGTACAACTGATGTGTAAAAAAACTAATTTTTCTTCAATTTAACATTTCAAATTTGGATGCACATTATATTTGGATAAATATGGTATTTATTTTTTCCACTTTAAAATGACAAACATAAAACTATCATTGTAATTGTCATTTTCTTTAATTTTAACAGTTTAATTATATGAGGAAGTACTTGGAATCTGGTGGAAGTATTTTTGTTATGCTTGGTGAAGGAGGGGAGAAGAGATTTCAGACAAACATAAATTTCTTCTTGGAAGAATATGGAATCATGGTTAACCATGGTAAGTAGAGATTGATTCTCTCAGGTATACAGGTAAAGTTTTACACATGTAGTGAGTGGTTTCTTATTCAAATTTATAATTATGAGCTCCTGTGAAATGCATCTTAATATCTTCTTAAAATCTGAGTGTTCACTGTTATAGATGTAAAGAATGTAGTACATAGTAAATAAAACTATAAGTATTCATAGATTTTATAAAAATGGAGAAAAGGAAACTTGACAATTTCTCTTAAAGTAAACTTGTTTATAGAATACTAAAAGGTAGTTAGGGCACTCTACTTGCAATCTAGTGGTTGTGGATTTGAATCCCCATCCTGCCAAACATGCACACCTTTTCAACTGTGGGGGTGTTCTAATATGATGGTCAGTCACACTATTCATTGGTAAAAGAGTAGCCCAACAGTTAGTGGTGGAAGTGATGACTAGGTGCCTTCCCTCTAGTCTTTCACTGCTAAGTTAGGGATGGATAGGTCAGATAGCTCTATTGCAGCTTTGCATAACATTCAAAACAAAACATACTTTATCTGATTATATCATGCAATAACTAATGAAAGGTTTTTTTTTTTAAATCTTATTTAATCATTTTATTCTACTAAAATTACTTAAAACTGTTCAATTAAATGGAAAAACTTATTTTAGAATTATGAGTATTTGGGGAATTCACAGCTACCGAACTTAATGAACATGACTTTTTGTATGAAACATTAATTGAATTCAAACTATTTGCACTAAATCTAATATTTATAAAAAAAAGTTTGGATAATAAGTATGAATAAAAATATGAGGTTTTTCTTTTTCAATCCTGATGTACTTAGGTAGAAGTTATAAACTGCACGAAGTTTGAGAATAAATGGAAGACATAGATTTTAAATTCACTATTTTTAAAATTAAGAGTGTTTCTGAAATAAAAGCAAAAAAAATTTAATTAAGTAGCATTCTGAGAAACTTTTCAACAACTGTTTAAGTGGAGTACAGTTTGGACTGTACACACAGATATGATGCACATATGATAAATACAATATATTGCGATCAGTTTCATTTTGGCCATCAACATCTTATAATAAGAATGTAAGAAATGAATTCTTAGTTTTAATCAAAAGTCTGCTAGCATACATAAAATAAAACAAAAGTGAAATGAGAATTTCAAATGTTCAGTATAATGAACCTCAGTTGTACACTGGTAAAAATAAAAAATGCAGGTTGTATTTCTAACATATAACTTCGTGGGTTTTGTTTATCTATACAAGTACACGTTACCT